CTGTTGATGCATTTTGAACACTTGTATTAGCCAATGTTGGGGCATGCTGAAGATCCACAATATCCTGTGTAAAAAATCATTGACTTGAACAAATATTTCCAATGAGACAGAAAGATATGAAGAATGAAAATGGTGAAACAGTGACAGTCGAGCTGACTATACATAATTGCTTCGTTCATCAGGCAATTACATTATGATCATGATGTTTGAATAAATGATTACTCAACAAGTATGTTTTCAAATACCTAATCTTTTTAACCGTATGTCACATGACAGTGTGTTCTTTGATAAACTACATTACGGTTGCATGAATAAAGATGATCCCCAGGTAGACTACTTGATCCAGGGTTCAGTTCCTTAAGATCTCATCATTGAATTTGGCCTTTTGTGTGTCGGCGATAATTGAAAATATTTCTTTGAGATTCCTAGCAAATAGTTTCAACCATACTATTGAGATTATGAAGCTGTTTTTCACATCAGTTTTTGCTTCCTTGATGACATTGAAAAGGGAGACTCGACTCTCACTTATATTACTGTTATTCCCGTTGTTATTTGGGATCATCATTGCTAGCCAAGATGAATTGAGTTTTCATCTATTTTGGTTTTATCATTTGTATTTCATCCCCAGCTGCAAAAATTCCACGGATATCTTTCTGTACATTGATCCTATAGTTGATGTGTTTCTACTTCCTACAAAGATCATTATAGAAGAAAATATGATCAGTATCACATTTGTCTTTGCCCGAGATGATATCAAGATCAGTTAGTGTCTCCTATTCAATTCGACACCAGCATATCTTGTGAATTTGACCAACTTTTTGGTCATACCAACATTACACTTGAATCCCCACTGAGTTTTTTTTCTCAAGTGGTCGTGTGACATCATTCAAAAGCTTTGAACTTTAGGCAAAGAGCTTCAATGATTGAGAAATCTTGGCAGAAGCCATAGGAAAGGATGAATGTGTTGTCAAATGTTTTACGAACATCTGAACAGAAGCCATAGGAAAGGATGAATGTGTTGTCAAATGTTTTACGAACATCTGAACAGAAGCCACAAGAAAGGATGAATGTGTTGTCAAATGCTTCATTGACCAATAATCCGATCAGAAACCACAGGAAAAGATGAATGTATTGTCAAATGTTTTACGAACCAGTGATTATAGTGCTGAACCAATGTTGCAATCATATGGTTTCCATTTATTGATCCAAGATGAAGTTTGTTTTCTTCAACCCCAAGATTAGAAGTGAGATATAATGAAGATTTCTTTCCAAGGAAAGTTGAAATTTTAAACAAGAAACTAATGGAGCCAACTAAGATCAAACAATAGGTTGTTGTTAAACATCTTTACATGATATGGTTTAAGTTGCCTTATTCGAGATCTGATTATATGTGAAGACATGAAAGGAATTGGAATAAATCTCCTTGTGATGTTTCAAGAGTTAAATTAGAACAGACTCTACTCTCCTAATTAATCCCTGCTGAGTCAGGCATATCTACATCTACACTCTTCAAAGATGACAAATTTTCTTTTTAAAGATGATAGATTCTCTTTTCAAAGATGAAAGCTTTATGGAATTTCTACACAAGTCCAAGCAAAGAAAATTGGTTTTATCCAAGACAAAATGGGACATCAAGGTCACAGTTCTGACTACAGCAAGAGTTCCACAAATGAAACATTTCTTCTGAGACTTTCATGAAGCAAAGAAGATAGCAAAGATACAAGTTGATCAGATGATTCTACAGAAATGTAAGCTTGATAGCATAAATTGCTACACTGATATCCAGAGGTAACCCTGACAATAAATGATGAACTAGAGGAAGACCAAGTTCACCACTTTGAAGACAAATAAAGATTGCATCAACATTCATGCATTCATAAAAACATCATTTACACAATAGACAATGCATTACATTGATACATCTGAGTGCATTCGAACATGAAGTTTTACAGATCTTCGGAAGAACAAGAAGATTCATGGTAAGAAATACCTTACAAGAAGAAGGTATTCAAAATCGCAAATACAGGAATCATACAAACATCTGAAGAAGTGATAGATGCAATCCACAAGAATGAAAATTATCTTGAGATTGGGGCATGTTACCCAATCAACATGTTATTTTGAAAAAAAAATGAGAAAACGATTTACATAGTTTCTCATTCAATCTTTTCTAAAAATGAAATTGATGAAAAGTAAGAAAACGATTTCCTTAGTTTTTTTACTTAGTAAACTATTTCCCAAATCTGTAAGTCCTTCAGTGCATGATGTTTCCAAAAAGCCTTCGGGATCTTTTTGATGTTTTCAAAGCCTTAGGGTCATCTGTAAGTCCTTCAGTGCATGATGTTTCTAAAAAGCCTTCGGGAGCTTTTTGATGTTTTCAAAACCTTCGGGTCATCTGTAAGTCCTTCAGTGCATGATGTTTCCAAAAAGCCTTCGGGAGCTTTTTGATGTTTTCAAAGCCTTAGGGTCATCTGTAAGTCCTTCAGCATGATGTTTCCAAAAAGCCTTCGGGAGCTTTTTGATGTTTTCAAAGCCTTAGGGTCATCTGTAAGTCCTTCAGTGCATGATGTTTCCAAAAAGCCTTCGGGAGCTTTTTGATGTTTTTACAGCCTTAGGGTCATCTGTAAGTCCTTCAGTGCATGATGTTTCCAAAAAGCCTTCGGGAGCTTTTTGATGTTTTCAAAGCCTTCGGGTCATCTATAAGCCCTTCAGTGCATGATGTTTCCAAAAAGCCTTCGGGTCATCTGTAAGCCCTTCAGTGCATGATGTTTTCAATATTTCAATCCTACTCAAAAGAAGCCAAATGAAAATTATTGTCTTTTTCGTCTTTGCTCTATTCTTGTTAACACAAGAATGAGCAAAGAGGGGCAGCTGTAGACACTAATTTTTCATTATATTATTTTAATTATTATTATTATTAAATAAAATATATTATTATATATATATATTATTATCATTAAATAAAAAACATACAAGGCCCAAAATCGGGGCCTGATTACAATTTCAAGCCCAATCCAGAAGGCCCAAATGATATAAAACCCAATTAGGGTTTACATGTTTCAGCTAGGGTTTTCTAACCCTAGCCCCAGCCGCCTCTGATGCTTCCAGAAGGTCAGCCGCCGCCTCTGCCGACACTCCCACTGCCAGGTGACCCAACCATATGCTGCCGACGATCCCCTACTACCACGACTCCCATGAAGAAGTCTCCAGAACGCCACGAAGCTACCCACATCGAGCCCTATGGTGAGTCACCGCTATAGCTATGGTGACTCACCAGAAGTCCCCACTGGAACCGGTCTGAAGGGCGTACCTCCATGGCTATAAAAGCCATCGTGCCTGCAAAAGAAAAAAAAAACAGACGGAGAACTACAGAGAAACAGACGAGGAGAAAAAAGAAACGAAAAACACAAAACAAAAAAAAAAACGAAAGGAAGGGATAACCACAGCCAGCAATCCAACCACCATCAAACACCAAAATAATGAGATAAAGATCGAAAGAAACCTTACCGAGGAAAGTCACACCACCACCGGAGTAACCACGCGCCTCCACGCTCCACAACAAACCTTCGAAAACCGAAGGTATTTTTAAAGATTTGCTCCAATTGGGAGCTTTTTAAGGTAAACAAATACCGGAATCGTCATTAGGACGATCCGATCTACGTTGTGGTATAAAGTTTTATTTTCTGGCCACCGGAGGCGGTGGCCGGCGGTGAGGTTGGCAGTGGCTATCGGCGCCGGAATTCCCTCCGGTGAGGGAATTAAGAGAGAAGGAAGAGAGAGCTTCTTCTTCTCTCGTTTTTGAGAGAAGAAGAAGAAGAGAACAATGAGGCTGCTGGCCCTTCGGGCCAGCTATGAAGGGGTATATATACCCCTTCCCGAACGACGTCGTTTTGGGAAGGGGTATATGCGTAATTTACATGTATGGCTAAACCCCTTCCGTAGCCATCCGAGTTTTGTAATTATTCATTTTAGTCACTAAAACTAATTTCTGAATGTTCTAATTCAGTATTCGAATTTTATTTTATTATGTTTTAGTCCTTACTAGTATTAAATAATATATTTAGGATAAATATCATATTTAGTCCCTAATAATTTTAATATTTCTATTTTAATCACTGATTAAATAATTAATGGCTAATTATACTACTAGTATTTATATTTTATGATAATTCTAATCATGTCTCTTACATATTTATATTTTATAATTTGATCATTAAATTTTATATAATCTTAATTTTAACCATAAGTTTTATTATTTTTACATTATTTTGATCCAATAGTTTTAATGTTATTACTTTTATTTTCTTTCATTTTAATTATTATTATTTTATTTATTATTACTTTTGATATATGTTTAAATTATATCTTCATGATTATTTATCATTAAGTTATATAAATATATATAATATTTATTTATTCTATTTGTTTATTAAATAAAAATCCTATTTATAAATTTAATTTCATAAATTACTTTTAAGAAAAATAAACATATTTTGATATGTATTTATTTTTTAATATCAAAGAAAAGAGTTGTCTTAAAGCACCTAGAAGCCCTTTTCTGATATTCTAATAAGTAAATATCTTATTTATATATTAATATATTTTCTTAAAATTATTTGAAACAGTAGAATTATGAATTAAATATATCTTTGAATTTTTAAATTTCCAATAATAGAGACAATTTATAATTAAAAAGTACCAATTTTGGGCGTTGTAGGGGTGCTAATCCTTCCCTAAACGTAACCGATCACGAATCCCTTTTTATTATTAAAAAGAACGAATTTTTGGTTATAAACGCAGATCAGTTCATCTTTTAACTGATGTTTTCTTAAAACTCTTTTAAAAGATAATTTTTAGGTATTCGACCTACCTAACCCAAAAGGCCGATGGCGACTCCCAAATTATTTTAAAAAACCATTTATTCACATCACTTTTCCTGCCAAATAAAAATATTTCGTGCCCGGACGAAAACCGGTTACGACAAGCTGTAAAGGGCCAAGCTGTAAAGGGCCCTTAGTACATAAAAACAATCTGTTGGAGCTCCTTTGAAGAGACCTTTGATCGATGCGAAGCCAGCAGAGAAACGCTTAGATCCTCCAAGATCGCAGGCATGAACCAGTTCCATTTTATGAGTTGTAGAAAGACTTCTTTGGAGCTAAGTGTGTATGACATGCTTTATTTTCAGATAGAATACAGAGTGAGAAAACAAGGCAATGCAGAAGCAAGAAATATAAGCATCCCCGTCAATGAAATGTTGAGAGTCGATGGACCGAACAGGACCTCGGAGGAACTTGTAAAATGTCTGTCAAGCATTTTCTTAAGAATGAGCTCAGTAAAGAGAAATCCTACAGTAGAAATATGCCTTCATTATCATTGATTGGGTCAGAAGAAAGCAGTGAAGAAACCGGATTTCGGGATCCCTATGGTTTTTGTTCAAATTCTGGAAGGAGAGATATTGGCCCATACAAGCATTTAGTTTCAATTGGTGATGATTCGATCAATCTAAACCGAACTTCGAATTCTTTATTTCTGTTGCACAGATTGAAGTAAATAATCTTTTCTTTGTTCATTTGATGTATTTTCTATAGCTTATCAAAATTCCAAAGAATTGTAATGTTTTTTTTTTGGTGCTGCATTTCTCAGACTCCTCCTTGCAAGATTTGCCTCCCTGAACTTGCAGAACCTTAACCATCAAGAGCAGCTTGCATGTTGGATCAATATCTACAATTCCTGCATGATGAATGTAAGTGAAGGTTCGCTTCGTCAACATAAAAACTGAAAAGAATTAGGCTTGTATTACATATTTGAGCCAATGGCTTAACTTGTATTTAAAGATCCAGACTAGTTTAAACCATGACTCCCATACCCCACATTGTCTTTATGATGGTACTTCATAGTTCAATGCATTTAGTTTCTGCTATCATACTTGGTTTACTCCAATGGATTGAATCAGTTTTAACACTTGATATCGATTCAGACATTCTTAGAACAAGGAGTACCAGAGAGTCCAGAGATGGTTGTGCAAATGATGAGAAAGGTAAGGATGCATGTCACTCAAGTCTTAACCAATAACCCTTTGATCTTCATTGTTGTGTACCAAGAAAAGTTGAAGAAGCAAATTTATGTACCTTATCTTCCAGTCCCTGAAAGAGAATGATGGGGCAAGAAAACTTATCGACAAATTGATTGGTGATCGATCAAAGTAAGCCTTCTCATCTCCTGAAATGGTCAGGGATATATGATAAGCAACTGGATGGATAAAATTTAAAATCAAACGACATCGGCGGCGATGGGGGATTTTCAGGAGCTGTAATTTTGTTGTCTTGTGAAGAAGCCATTGTTTTGAAAATCTGGTGTTGACTCTTCTTTTTAGTAGCAACGTTAAGATGATTCTTTTACTGAAATGGCGAGAAATGAGAGCAGAGGAGAGTGGGGAAGTAGAGAAGCGAGTGAGGGTGGAAATAGCCATCGGCCTGTTTGACTCAAATGGATCACAAGTAAGCAGGTGTATTTAGATGACATGATTTTTTCAGAGGTTTAATTATAAAATAAGTGCTTAAAGTATATCGTTTATTTAATATGTGTCTAACATTTTTTGAATCATTCATGTGTCTAATGTTACAAACGTTATAATTTTAGGTGTCCATGTCGTAATTGCTATTAATTTTCTCTGTTAAGTGACATGTGTCACATTCTGGTAATTTTGAAATTTCTTTTTAAATTAAAAATATTTTTTATTTATAAAAACCCTAATTTCTCTTAAATTATAAAAAATCTCAAATCCCTAAAAAATATAAATCCCTTACTTGTCGTTGTCGCCCTTGTCGTCCACGACCACCGCCACCAACGTAATTCTTGTCATCTTCCTAGTCATACTCAGCCATAGTGGTCGTCGATTGACCGTCAGGATCGCATGAAGTCATGATTTTCAGCCTAAGGTTCACAGGGTACAAAATGTCGATTGGCTGTCAATTGATCTCGATTGGTCGCTATTTCATAGGGGTATTGATCATCAGAGAGAGGGTGAGGTCGTGTTAAGCTTTGCCGACGGCTAAGGACAGTGATCGACGTGAGTTTAGGGGTTGAAATGATAGTTTTTAAAGTTTTGAGGCTATTTCAAAAATTTTATTTTTTAAATGTAATTTTAATTTTTTAATTTTAGATAAAAAATTAAAATTACCAAAATGTGACATGTATCTTTTAATGACAGATTTTAACGGCAGTTATGATTCCGACACTTAAAGTGGTAACGTTTTTAACGTTAGGCAGCTGGATAATTCAAAAAAAACAGTTTAGCCATCTACTTGAGAAAAGCGATATAGTTTGTACAATTATTTTATAATTAAACATTATTCCGTATGAACCATATCTTTTATCACTTCTCAATTGTGAATCATAATCGTATGCTTATATTTTATACTTTGTCATCTATAATATTATCTTTTGACAAAATTTCTCAGATATTGTGACGAGAATTTTTTTCATTTAGGGTTTAGTTTTTAAGGGCGCAAGGTACACCGAAACACAAAAAGTCTCTAGAATTTAGATGCAAGGTGCAAGCAATCGCCTTTCCTTTGCAAGGCACACTTTTTATACTAAAAAATTATAAATTAAATTTAGAAATATCCTTATCCACTGACTATTGATTCGCTTCTAAAATACTTAATTTCCTTTCCACATTTTATTTATTTACTATTGTTTATTCCATCCTCAAGAATCAAGTCCTATTTTTACCATTTATAAAATCTTACCGTCCACAACTCCTCCAAACACTTCGAGTACGTTTGATGTAAGATTACCAGTGAGAATAAAAGATTATCAGGAAATATGATTACTGGGAATGCTATATTTTGTGTTTGGTTGGTTTAGCATGAATATAAGATTACCGTGTTTGGTTAAAGTAATAAAAGATTATTGGAATGTATATTTGACCAAATTGTCATTATTATTTATTTGTTTTTTAACAAGTTGAAAATATTTATATATTTCTTTAAAAAATTTAAATTCATAAAATTTATATTTTTTTGCAAAACTGAAAATATAAAATGGTTTAATAAAAGGGTAAAATTTTATTTTAACCCCCAACTTTATATAAACTTTTAATTATAGATTTTTCTTTTGTAAATCTAAAATAGTTTAAAGATAAATTTATAATTTAATCTTCGTAGAATTTTTATTATTTAATGATAAAAGAATAATATTTTTGAATTTTTAAGGGCATTTTAGTCCAAAACTTCGGTAATCGAACAATACATAAGGGAAGGAGATTAATGACATTCCCAATAATATTCCTAAAAAAATTCACTATTGGTAATAAAATATTACCGGGAATGAGATTCCCGGCCAACCAAACGAGGAAATGTAGATTTCATTCCTATGAGAATCCCACATTCTCCGAACCAAACAACCCTTACACACTTACACTTTAATAAACTAGTAGCCATATGTTTTAACCATGAAGAACAATAATTTTTTCCACACAAATTAATAAAAGAATAAAGAACGATAACAGTTATCCTTAGACAACATTACTGGTATAATTATATAATATTCCAATTATAAAAATTTATTATAATTAAAAAATAATTATATAATTCTTATTTATTTTTTATATTTTAATTATACTTATTCTATTCTATTTATTCTTATATTGTTTTTATAAATGAGTTTGTTACTTTGTATTATTGTAAAAAATAAAAAATAAAAAAAACAATGGTGTCCCGAGACTGTAATAATAAAGACATTTTTTCAAAGACATCTTATCGTTTGAGCGATCTTTGATGTGTACTGTAATAATTACTTTATATCATAAAATCTTTTATTAGGCCTTAGCTGAATTTTTTTCCCATCCCATTGGGAATAAAATTTTCCATTATATTTTTTTTAATATTTTTTCACATAACATTATTTTTTATTATTTTTTTTACAATTAACATGATTTTTTTAACAACACAATTAACATGACGTCATTATACTACAAACTGAGATTAAACATAAATAATCACATATCTAATAACAATCATTCAAGCGAGAATACTAAATCACTACACCTAACATAATCATAAATCCTAAAATATTTCTAAATCATATATTATAAATTTTTAAGTATTTTTGTTATTTTTTCTCTCTTAACATTTAATAATAAAAAATCTAAACTCATATATTCTTATATTTTTTATAATATATAATATTAACATAAACATTTTAATATTTTTATCCTAATTAAAAGATAATTTTGAATTCCTAAACCCTAATATATTAATAAATCTTAAACATCTGCAATAAAAACTTAATCTAAAAATATAGTTAAGTCCTCAAATTATTTTTTTGATTAAAATAAATCTTTAAATACTTAACTTATTTTCTTTTAAAATAAGTACCTAAACTACGCCTATTTTTATTTTAAGTTTCTAAACTAATTTTTTTTTGACAAAATAAACATTAATTTTATGTGACATGTCAACATCTCATTGGTTAAAATAATTTATAACTGAAAAAATAACAACACTTACAATGATTGCATATAATATTTTGAGAATTTATTTTGATCAAACAATAATTTAGGGACTCAGAGTAAAAATAAAATAATTTAGATATTTTAAATTAAGTTTAAAATTAATAACAAAAAATAAATCATAAACTAATAATTCAATTTGAGAATGGAATGATTTTAGGATTTAAAAAAACACTAAAAGAAAAACCGTTTTATAAGGATTATGATGCTTTACCAAAAAAAGCGTCTTTATCACATCTAGAATAATTTTTTTTACCGAAAACGCTTTAGCTAAATTAATATCATATAAAAAAATTAATCATTAATGAATGTTATTTTAATAAAATTATTTTTAATATATTTGGGTGAAAAACCCTCTAATCTAGCTAAAAAAACATTTTTGTGAAAATTCTTAAAATAGTAAAATGATAAAATTGAATAGGAGAATTGGAACAAAAATGGTAAAGACAAAACATGGTGACAAGGAAAACTAATTAAAAAAGGAAAAATTATAATTTTCATCACTAAGCTTTACTCTATCTCCTATTTTGCTGACTTTAAAAGTTTTCATTTTAATCATTAAACTTTAGACATTGATTTTTTTATCACTCAGCCGTTGTTTCTTTAACTTTGTGTTGACTTGACACTATTATTATTATTTAACTAATTTTTAAACTGCATAGTGATCACCATCTTTCATAACTGATCACTGAACTAATCGCCACCGTCAGTTGTCATTATACCCAAAATCTTCAAATTACTTATTTGAATACCATAGATCAAAATATTAAAGAGAATTAGCCTTTGGACTATTGCTTTTGATTTCCACAATCCATTTAATCTCATAAAAGTGAAACCCAAATCCTAGAATAAATCAAACCACACACAAATAAACAAAAACAAATATAACTCTATAATTTAAAGATTATATTGATAAAAATTTAAAACATGATGCTCTAAAGACCTTTTCAAACAATTAATGACAAAAATAATTGCAGTGGGATTTTCAAATTCATTAATATTTTAAGGGTTTTGTTTTTATTTAACATAAAATTCAATAAAAATATTCTCTTTATATAAACTTGTATTACAGTAGATGCGGGCAAAAAAGAAAGAAAGAAATTTTGCAACTCATTTTAATACATTAAGTTGAAAAAATCTAAAAAAATTTGGGTTCGTGAAGCTCCAATAGTTTGTTAGACTATTTCAACCATGAGAGAACGAAGAAAATGATAAAGAAGCACATACTTTAGAAATGATACGATCTAACAGTAAATGATGGATAAAAATTAGAAATATATTGTTCAATGATATATTTGTGGAGTTTAAGATATTTTCTGGTTAAACAGACATCTGATTCGGGTTTAAAAGGGTGAAATGAGTTTGCTGAAAGATTTTGGGTCTCATAGATCGCCATCGATGTTGACCAACATCAGCTGAAGCAGAAGCCGATCATGACGAGTGCTGGCTGGATTTTGAGAAGATATAGAAAAAATGAGGGGAAGAAAAGAATAAAAGAAAGAAATGAAGAAAAAAAGGAGAAAATATGATTTTATATGGGATTCAAAACTATGTCATTTTGATGTAAAATTATTACGGTAAACATAAATGATTTTGATATAACATAATATATAGTTATACATCGATTTTTGTAAAATTATATTAAGTCCCTAAAATTTGTCAGATCTTTAAAATAAATCCTTTAAGCTCAAATTATGTTAAAAATATCATTCAAACATTTTAGAACATTTTTCAAAGTCATATCTTTCTCAAAATGTCAAAAATTATCTTTTAAACAAACTTTGACCAGAAGTTTCGAAACTTTCACAAGAGTTTCGAAACTCTCACAAGAGTTTCGAAACTTTACTTGAAGTTTCGATACTTTAGGCTCCAACAGTCATATTATTTAATTCCTCTTTTGAAGAGTTTCGAAACTTTCCCTATAGTTTCAAAACTTATTGTGCATGTAGCCATTAATGCATAAATTTAATGCTTCAAATGGCTC